TCAGAGCGGAGTCCGGGTGTCCGGGTGTCCAAGATGCCACCAACATAAAACGTGTATTCAATTGTCCAGTGGCCAGTTCCAGTTTTTAGTTCGTTTCCTTACGAAATCATGGCCGACGCCGGGCCAACCCTGCTGCCTCACAGACCAGCAGTCAGGTCCAGACAGATGGGTGTAGCGCCCGGTGTGGTCCATGTGGCTCCAACAAGACAAGAAAATATCCTGCGGTGAATGGAGTCTGAGCTATGACCAGACTTGCTGTACCAAATATACGTGCATTATCTTGCCTCGACACGTTTTCAATTGATCTATTTGGTAAGTTGGCAGCCTCATGAGGCTTCAGGAGGGTTTTCCACGAGGGTGGGAAGTGTTTGCGTGGGAAGTGCCAACACCCATGCAGGGTGTTCGGAAGCCCCTCCCTATGGCTGCTACATCTGTTAGCGAGGGGAGGGTTTCCCAGCTATACCTTGGAACTGCCAAGGATGCCAGGAAAGTGCACATGATGCTAGTAATGCCGTTTGTGGCGCTCGGATGCACTGGCATCACGCTCGTCCTGCATCCAAGACGTCAAAAGTGCCGGTTTTGTGTTTTTCGGCACTTTTGACTGTTTTTCGTGCTGTCAGATTTTCACGATTCTGACGCCTGGGAGATTTGGAATGAACGGAAAAGGTCATCCAATCCTGACTCACGCGCCTCAAAAGCCATACAGGTGAAATTGACGGCACCACCGCATCTGCTGGGACTCTGGTACATCTATTACTGTCTCAGGTCTGGCAGGCTTGGGGTGGACAGTGGTCATTCCTCAGAGTGATTCTAACCTGATACCATGTTGGCTCAAGTGTGATCCAAACTTGGCGCCGGCAAGGCTGGTACCTGGCTTTTGGGCAAGATCCGCAAGTACCAACTCCTGTCGTCCTAAGACTTCAACCGTCTGCGAACAGCGTGTGATGATGGCAAAACATGGAAGACTGGCATGCAGGGCCCCTCAACCTGACATTCCAAAAGATTTGCGCTATACGCTTGCGCAAGGATGCCTCTCAATTGTCCTCTTCAGGTTGAACAACCCAGGATATGGTCATTTGTCGCTCCGCATGTGTGATCTTGTTTTTTTGTGGCTATCCCTTGATCAAGTCCTGTTCCCCTTCACTGTTGAACTTCTACCCCGGCTATTGCTGACCGAGTTGATTGGTATGAGCAGCATTCGCTGTGGTGTTTGATGAAACGGCCCAATTGGTCCGTAGCTTTTTCTGGTTCCTGCAGCGGATGTCCAGTGATCAGTGTACTAGCCCGTATGGCGAAGTCTTTCCGCTTGGTGTGGGCGAAGAGGCTGCCACGCAAGGCCAAGAAAAAAGAAGACCCACAGGCCAATCAGCAATTGGCTGAGTGCCAGCCTGACTTCCGGAGAGTTGCCCGCAAGCGGCCTGCTCATGTGCAATCCAATGCGCCCGCACACTACACCCCACCTCCCTTTGCCCAAGAAAGAAAAGTAGCGCAGCCTGCCAGCAGGGCTCAACGACTGGCTGCGGGTCGCACTCCAGCCAGATTGGCTGCGCTGATGCGCACACATCTTTTCAGCAAACCCATTTCTCTCCAAGCAGGGTCGTTGCGACCTTCGGGTGGGCTTTTTGCCACTTGGGCAGGAACTCCGGCTTTCATCGTGAGCACTTTCTCCAGACATAATGTGCCCCACGCTGATGTGGTTGGCCTACGGCAAAAAAAGGATGGCTCCAACTTATGGAATGGTCGTTTGTCGCAGGCCAACACCCATACGATAAAGCAGGAGGACTTGTTTCATGTCGGCTTGCACTATCGCTTGCTGCGCAAGCAAACTAAAATGAGTTCTTGCTTGTGTTCCTTTGCTTGCATTGAACGCCTTATGAGTTCGTTTTGTTCGTGACACTAAGTGTAAACCATGCAGGGTCAATCTGTTCGGCAGACTATCGGATGTGAGGCTTTGCTCAAAACGCAGACGCTCTCGCTGCTGTGGATGCAAGGGCCGCTCAAGTTTGTAGATGGGTTGCTCAGCGTGTGGCGCAGGCGCAGCCAGGGTGTGTTGAGCATGAGGCCCAGGCAGTCCATGGCCCCCTCGCCGCAGAGCCCATACTGCCAAAGCCTCAATTGACTTCAGTACTGGGGAACTGTGCCTGATGTTAAACTTCCCATGTCCTTCTCAGCCTTCCCCTAGCAGCAAAGCGTGCACTGCACCTGGCCTGAGGTCTAGCAGACTCCAGGAGCACCTACAAAAGCAGCGGGACTTGGGTGAGCCACACGTTGCTAAACCTAGACATGCGGCTGATCGCCGTAGCAGCGTGTGCGTCTTAGACTTGCCACTTCCTCAGACCCTGCGCTGGCAGCCGCAGCGCTGTGACACCTGCAGATTGCTGAGAAGTGGCCTCGCAGCTTTTGCAGTGACAGACGCTGACATCATGGACGCGGCTCCTACAGTTCTACGCCACGATCCAAAGAGAAACTCTGATCTTTGTATCTGATGCTTTGTTTTTTGTATCTGGTGCTTGAAAAGTTGGTCAGCTGCTTGCTGTTCACCACCACAGATCAATATAGTTGAGTGTATGGAGGCAGCCAACAGCTAAATTTGGCCAGCTGCTTGCTGTTCAACACCACAGGTCAATATAGTTGAGTGTATGGAGGCAGCCAAGAGTTTAGCGCTTGGGCAAAGCTGTGCACGTACACTGGCCCGCCACCGCCAAAAAAAAATTATATGGTCCAATATGGTTGTCACAGTTGGATACAACTTCCCAAAAATGTGTTGCCACTCAGAGTGTCCCCAAGATACAAACGAACAATGGGTGAGAGAGGGAGACCAGCCTCCTAATTGTTTCTGTGTAGTTACTAGCCCAAAAACACGTTCATGGACTCAGCCGACTGTGTTAACTGAGTCGAGAGTTTCGTTTGGACCACCAAGTTAACCAGGTGGTTCAACCATGGTCCTTCCACTTTGGCTGGCAGATGCTGCCAGTAGCCCGTCCGTAAAACGCTGTCGTTGCTCAATTTTTAGGTTTGCCAGGCCCAATGAAAACCAAGGTTTTGCACTCATCACATTTCTCTAAGGGCCCGTTCAGCTTTCAGTGAGGAAAGGCAACCGGATTGAAGAGGACTGGGGGCAGGCAAGGGACAAGTCCCCATCAACCGTCATCGTTTTGTTTCACTAAACAAACCTGGCTTGGTAACAAAAATGTATGTATTTTTTGGCACCTTTTGATTTGGAAGTCAGCCTCAGTGATTCTCCGGACATGGCACAGTGCAATGTCTTCGAGCATTACTCGCAGGCAGGGCACCAGTCACATGGCATGAGCTTGCAGATGTCAGTCTTTTTCTCGCAGTTACTTTTTCAGAACAACCCATTTGTTTTTCTAGGAAATGACTGTGGACTTATTATGCGGTGGAGTGGCTGATGGTGGGTGTTTCCATTTTGTTTTGAAGAGGATCATTTTCATAAATGCACTTGTCAGCTCCAGAGCTATCACAGATACTCGAATACCTTCCTCGCGACTGTGCAAGGCTCTTGGTTCCTGATGGCGCAGCAGAGTATTCCTCTAGAAACCAGGCTGAGGCAGGGTTGACATGGACAGCCATTCCGATTGACGTTGCACAAACCAAATTCTTGAGACCAATCAGAGAAACAATAGAAATTCAGGTTCTTTCAGTTGAAGAAACTGGCTTGCATGAGGGTGAAAATGGTTTGTTACAACATACCCACAGCAGATTCCAATTTGCTGTGGTCAATCTTAGTTGGATTCCCCAAGCACAGCCAAGACCAGATAGAGGCCGCAATCATGAGAGCCACATGACATTGGTAGTCTTCAAGTCTTCCCGCTTTGGATTGGGATGCCAAGTTTGTAGTCACAGGCAGACATCATCCTGGAGTTCATCATCCTGGAGTTGCTTTTCTTTCCTGAGCAGGTGCCAACTTCCTTTCCCCCTCAGTGCCCAAATAGGCATCCTTGTTTCCGATCAAATTGGGCCACATCACAATTCACTTGATGCAAGTGCAATGATCATTTATCATTGCTTTTCAGGTGTGGGCCTTTTCTGTGGCCACTGCCAACATTTCAGGTTGGTGCCCCAGTGAGCCTTCTGAGTAGGAAAGCCGGCAGTTGATTGAAGAAGCACGCATTTAGGGCTAATACGCCAAGGCATGGTACGCCTGCACAACTACCAGCAGATGAATTTTTGGAAAAATCCAACAAAACTGAGATCCGATCCATAAGGTTCTCAGTGACCCTGAAGCTCTGCCGGCCATCGCTTTGAGTTTTGCCCAGACCTTCAGTCTTGTTTGAACTGCACTTTGAAACAATGCATGGCAGCAACTGTTCCAAAAACCTGTTGTGAAACAAACTGATCCCCTTTGAAACCCACCAATGCCCACTAAAGTTTTAAACTCATCAGCTGCTTCGCCCAGGCCCAGACTTTGCTGCGTTCCATGATCTTCAGAGAGGTGGTACTGGTGCAGCCCAGACTGTTTGTTGAGAGTTCTTTTGCAGCTGATCACCCCATCCCAGCTCATCCCCGTATCCTGTGAGTGTCCAGCGCGTGTTTCTTGCATTTGGCAAGGGCTGAACTGGTACATGTCAGGTTTTTATCCAAGTCAAAAACTAAATTGACTTCAGGTTTGTCAAGGTGTTCATGTATTCCACACATCAAAAAAAGAACCGATTGGACTATATTTGTCATTGATTTGATCGATCGGATTGGACCTGTATCAGCCAGGTGGAGTGGTGATGGGAACATTTGGCAGCAAGCAACCCAGAGCACAAGCATGTTTTTTGGTGACTCGAAACCATTTACACAAAACATGTTTGGATCAGTCAGCAAACTTTGCCTTGGCCAAGTTCTTGGCGCAGCAAGATGATCTCATAATATGGCATATGTTCAAGACAAATAGCCAGCGAGTTCACACTAAATCAGTCGCTAAGATGTCCAAGTTGCATGGGCTAATCATTGTTGTTTTGTTCAACACCTTGCTAGTTTCCGTTCCTTGCTGAATGGCTTTTGCTGACGAGTCTGATTGTGAGCTCCCCAGCGAAGATGAGGGGTTGCCCATACCACATCTGCTTGGTGTGGGAGTGGCTTGACAGGTATTGAAGATTCATTTGTCCAATGTTGAGCCCACGGATTGCGTCCACAAACTGTAAGTTTTGGGGAATGTACTTCTATTTGTCCTATGCATAGTTTGTGAAGAAGTGGAAAATCAGACTGCCAACATAATATGCTTCCAAACAACCAACATATATATATACATTTCATATATATATATATATATGTTATATATATATATTTCTATTCAACCTTCCACAATGGCTGGCCCAGGATCTGTGTGAAGACAGCCCAGCACTACCAGAAGAGGATTCGATAGATGACCCATTGGAAGGGTTGGACCTGGAGTTGCCATCGGAGGTAGAGGAAGAGCCAGCCACGTTCCTTGCAGCAACCGGTTGAGGGACAACCAATCCGAATGTTCTATTTAATGTTGGGGTGAATGGAAGTACTCTAGACTCTAGATCAAAGGTTTTTTCCAAGTTCCATGTTGTTTGTGCTGTCACGTCGATCCAAATCTTCAGGTGCCCTCAAGAAGAATGCTGTAAACACAACTGCCTTTTGCACTTCAACGCTAGTCTCAATGCAAAGCGCCAGCAGCTAGAATGGCAGCGCAAGCTGCTGTCTTGGAGCCGTTCAGAAGGTGACCGCAATATTTTCCAGCTGTTGAAACAAATGCGGGTTCATGAGGACGGGGTGACCGGGTCTGAGATCTGTTGTGTTGATATTTTGCTGTATCTAGAAAGGTTTTCCTATATACCCGTTTTTGCCAGTTGCATCTTTGCTTATACTAGCCTACGCAAAAAATATACATACCGCAAGCAACTCTGGCACACCACTAAATTGAAAACTAGCCTGGTAGGATGGACTGGTGCGGAAGCGAGGCCCTGCTTGGCAGTTCTTTGGCGTGAAGATGTGCTTCCGTGCTTTTGTAGCCACTACTGGCATCAGCAAGCGTAAGTGTCAGAAGTTCCTGCTGGCGATTACCAACGGCCACAGTGAACCCCCAGAGGATGGCCGGTCCTTGAGAAGCGACCGCGACATGCCGAAGCGGGACCATGCCCGGGTCTTTTTTCAATGGATCTACAATCACCTAGCCGAACCTTTAGCTGAGGGTGAGGCAGAGCCAGAGGCTGAATCATCGACAGAGTGGGCCGACGAGTTCTCCTACTGGGTGCAGGGCCGGGGGGAAAGTTCAGAGAATCCTGTGGCGTGCGCCAGCGGATCTTTGGAATCTGGTTTGCCACAAAAGTCGTTCGTCTGAAGCTGGGCATTTTTCTTAACCTTGTATGTTTGCACCAAAATTGGGTTGCCATATATTCTCTATATAAATTTATTGGGCGGCTGCAAGGTGGTTGCACCCCATGAAATTCGCAGAGCTCTTTGACTTGTATGAGTTCATGTATGGCAGCGAGAGCACATGCGGGCGATCATTGCTGCGCCGGGTCTATGTAGAAGAATGGAGGGCATGCCTCCGGATTCGAAAAACCTCCCAACACACCCAGTGCAAAGATTGTGACTCATTGACCCAAAATCAGATCTTTTTTAATTTATGGTAACGACACCTTTGTCAGGATGTACCCAATTTGCTAGTAGTAGATCCATGCCCTGTTGGCCACTGCCCAGCTTAGCCGAGGTGTTCGCATCTCAAAGTATCGCCGGGATGCCAGAACAGAGGCTGAGAAGCAAGCATTCACTGCAGCGGCGAATGAACACAAACAAGGTGTCTTCAGGGATCGGGCTGCTGGCCGGAGGTTGATGATCCTTTCCGAAAGCGCTACATGCCAGGATACCTCCTATGACCCTGCCCATTCCATCCTGTATATTAGCCTGGATGGCATGGACCAGGAGATGGGTTCACCCACAAAGCATTTATCAATGTCAAGCAGGTAGAAATAGAAACCACACATTCTATTTGGCCTTTGCTTTCTCACAGTACAAGAAGTAAACGCTTAAACTTGTAGTTCAGAGATCCTGCCCATTGTTTCCTTCAGGCGAAATTTCGAGTGCCCCGCTGCACGGAGATGTTTACATCCAAGCAATATGAGAAATGCTGGAGGCCCCAATGTCACTGTGTGTGTGCCATTGCCCACGGCGTTGTGGAATGCTATTATGTAATGGATGGAGACATTCCAAAGAACAGCGACATGAACATCACGTTGATCAACCGAACGGTTGATGTGGCTTTGGAGGTGCTCCGTGCTCGAGGTGTGTCGCTCCCACATCATCTTGCACTGCAAACAGACAATACTACCCGTGAGCAACGAAACCAGTATGTCTTTACCTTTTGTTCATTGATGACTGCCAAGCGGTTGTTTGCCACCGTGAGCCAATGTTTCTACATCCCTGGACACAGTCACAATGAAGTAGACCAGCGCTTTGTCCCGGTCGCAGCTGCATTGTCTCGGGCCACCCAGCTCCAAGATTGTGAAGAGCCTTTGCACACTCAATTCAAAACATTTTTTGGGAAACCATTGGGAACCTGTTTGGACCCTCTTGGCATTTAAGCTTCTTCACCACCGATGTGAGGAGTTTGCACAGTGCGTCCGCAACAATGTCCAGCCGGCGAGAACTCGGGAGATGCATGTGGAATGCATCAATGCCTTCCACAATTGGCAAGAGTATCTCCAGCCCTTGAATGTCTCATTGAGTGGGCTGGCTATCTTAGAACACGAGCCAGATGTCAACTTTTCCTTCCGCTTTGTCTGCAGAGGTGAGCTTCGCAAGTATCAGGGTTTTGAGAAATGGATGGCAATGGAAGATGGTGAGCAGGACCTTCATCCGTTTTAGATCGTGTTAGTGTGTTTGTGTTGGTGTCTTGGTCGAATAGTTATGAACAGTTGATCCACACCAGTGGGATTCACACACATTTTTCCAACGCCAAGTCAGGACCTTGCTGTGGCACCACAGGATGGCGAGCTGGGCAATGATTCAGATGTGTTCTTGCTTTGCAAGCATTTCATGCATTCCAGTTGCTTGACACAAAAGCCTACATTACTCCTCCCTGTGTCGCGCTTGGGAAATGTGGGCCTGCAACCTACTCAAACTATATCGCGGAACAAGCTGTCTGACCGTCAGTTGGCTGAGTTCCGGAAGACAGCCCGCCAGATTGCAGAACCGCCGTGGTCTTTGCTACGAGCGTCAGACTACCTGAATCGGTTGTGTGATGACAATGCTAGTGAAAAGGTTCATGATCCCCCGCCGCTGGTTTTTTCAATTCCAGTGGGGAGGAAATCGATGGGTTTCAGGCTTTGAGAGACCGTGCAGACCCACCAGAGGACTTGCTCAATTTCGCACCAGGCACTCCGAGAAAGGTGGTGGTCAATTTGCAGCCAAGAGGTCGTGGTGGAGGTGGTGATGCAGCCCGTGGCCGACCTGCTCGTGGCCGAGGCCGGGGCCGGGGCAGAGGGCGCCGTGATGAAGGAGACAATGCAAACGGGGAGGCTCCTGCAGAGGCAGCAATGGAACCGCCTCCTGGAGCCCTGGAAGCAGAAGCGCCTCCTGTTCCTCCTGCCCCACGGCCAGCTCCCAAAAGAGGATTGAAACGTCCAGCAGCTGCTCCACCTAGAGGGCCTGCAGCAAAAGCTGCCGCTGCTGCTCCTGAGCCAGGACAGCCTTCTGGCGAAGCTCCTGCTGCGCCAGGAGAAGGTGAGGCCGGAGCCGCTCCCCGTTATCGCCAAAGCACGATTGACAAGCAATCAAAACTCGGTTGCAATAAATGCAAGTATGCTGTTTCTGGCTGTACAAGATGCAAGGAAATTCATTCCTTGTACAGAGCGCAGCACGGTTTGGAGTAGTTCCGCTACAGTTTGTAGATCTCACAGTGTCAGTGTCAGCATGTTGTAAGACCATGAAGGGTCAACAGCTTTGCAGATCATCAAACCACTCCAGAATGAATGTTCATTGTGTTGTTTCATTTCTTTGGTCTATGGAGTGCTGTCCCTCTGTGTCAGGCAAGTTTTCGCAATACTTTTTGTCGCCTTGCAGGAGAAAGTTTGTTGCACCAAGTTTCATTTTGGCCCTGAATTTGCTTCTTCTCAGCTTGCTTCATGCGTGGCTCGCTGAGGTTGGGCCAGTGGATTCGAGGCTCAAACCTCAGAAAACTCATTGCAAGACTGAGTGAGGGTAAGTTTTGGCTCAGCCTCGAGATTTTCGCACATGGTGTGGTCTTGTGAACACAATCTATCTGTATATAACGTATGTTGAGCTACTGGGAGGGTGCTTGGATGTGGTAGCTGCAGCTAGATCAATCGCAAAAAACAAAATCATTTTTCTGTTGCTGCAGCAGCAGTCCGGAAAGCGATCCAAATTTGGACCATTGAACGCGCGTTTTCAGGCCCTACCTTCGGCTACTGTGACTGCAGTTCTTATGAGTCTGAACCTCAATCAAAATGGTATGGTACAAACCGTGAATTTGGCTGTGAGACTGTGGGTGAATTCAATGGGTCACTGTCAGGAGTTCTGTTTGGATATGGTTTGATGTGTGGACCAAAAGCTAGCTGTTAGAAATCAAAGGACCGGCAGCTGTGCCTGACACCAACCAAACATGGCTATGCGTCGCAAAGCTTTGTCGTTTTGCCTTCCTTCTTCCGACTCAGAAACAGATTTGCAACAGCTGTTTGGACATGGTGCAGAAGAAATTGAGCTCCCTTCAGATGTGGACGAACCTTTGATATGTGGAAAGACTTTTTGATTAATTTTCAAGTCGTTGGCTTTGTGTGGATCTCAGTTGATATTTATTGTTGCCAAACATATTTTTGAATAGCTTCATGAATTTGCATTGGTCAGCTGGCCAGTGCATTGTCTCATTCATCAGGATGATGATATCGCTTTCTTGACCACGCCGCGGCAGGATGTCAAGCGTGCTTTGAAGTTCAGCCCTAAATCTCATTCTGCTTCCAAAATGGGCCATGGTCGTGCACGCCTGGTTGGGCCAAGGCGTGTCCCGCAGGTGTCCAAGAAGGTGGTCAAGCCAAAACAACAATCGAAGAAGGCAACCTTGCCTTCAAAGAAGGATGAGCAGATTGACACAGCTGCATTGGACCTTGCTTTGTCGGTTCTGAAGCAGCCCAGGAAGGACATCACACCTCATGATGTGATGGAACTGTATAGCCGTCCACGGCTCGTGCCCATGGCAGAATCTATGGGGCTGACAGGCAGCCTTTCCCTGGACATCGTCCATGGGTGGGATGCATTGAAGCCAGAGCATCAAACCATCGCCTCTCAGCTGCTTTCCAAGGTGACACCGAAGTTTCTGATGACTTCGCCGCCTTGTACCTACTTCTCAGCGTTGATGGAACTTTGGAACTTCAAGAAGATGAAAGCTTCTGAGAAACGCCGCAGGAAGAAAGCCGCTGTGGCCATGGTGGAGCAGGCTGTGGACAGCTGCTTGGCCCAGCATGATGCTGGGAGGCTTTTCGCTTTCGAGCACCCCAACAATGCCACGTCCTGGAAGATTACGAGCCTGAAGCGCAAGATGGCTACTCCAGGAACCTATACCATCTCATTTGATCAATGCTCAGTGGGCCTGGTGTCTCCAATGGGAGAACCCATCCGCAAGCGCACGCGGCTCTGGACCAATTCACCCAGCATTCGGGACTTGTTTGAATCCAAGCAATGTGCCTGCATTTGCGATCACCGGAGGATCGAAGGATCCCAGTGTGGATTCAGCCTTTCGAAGTGGGCGCAAACCTATCCACCCAAGATGGTGAAATGTTTGATCCAGGGCGCATCCAAAGATATGCCCTAAGCTGACGCTCTGGGACTTTTTCTGGCTGGAGCCACCGACCCGGAATGCCATTTTTCTGATTGCCAAACTTGCAGTACCATGTTGTGTTTAGCAAAGGCTTGGATTGGCTTGAGGTGCCTTGGGCTCACAGCTGGAAGTCCTTTCTTAATTACACTGCACTGTACTCACTAGGCAGGCCAGCCTGTGAGAGAGGTGCTGGAAAACGGGTAGTGGATGAAGAAAAATCAAGCTGCTGCAGCAACTGTGATGGTGCTGTCCTTCAATGTTTGTGTTTGGATATGTCACTGGCAGTGTTTGAGGCCTGGCTTTGGATCTGTGTTTGGCTTTTCTCCTGCTGTGCAACCTTCAGGTGCAGGACTGATTCATTGGTCATTAGGCTTTGGAACTGGACACATTTTGAGCTTCACTGGGCCTGGGGTACTTGGTTCATTGCATCCAGAAAAAGAAATAACTATGAAAAAACACTTTGAAAAACACATCAAAAAAATCTAAGTATTGAAACCCTAAACCCTAAACGTTTGACCATGTTTTCACTTTCCAAAAAAAATTGCGAGAGTGGGGTTTACATCAAGCGATTTCCAGGAGAGGTCTCTGAAAGATCGCTCGGTTTTGGGAGACACAGTGGGAGTTGGGAGGGGGACCATGTCCAACAAAAGATTTGAATTTTCAAGAGATGTCACATGGGCCCCAGACTCACCCAGAGATCGCTTGAAAACAATTGTTTTCAAGCGATCTTTGGCTAAGTTCCTTATTCCAAGAGATCTTGGCTCTGTGTTGAACCAGGGCCTAGTTAGCTTGAAATAAGAGGTTCAGCCAAAGATCGCTTGAAAACAATTGTTTTCAAGCGATCTCTGGGGGGGCCTGGCACAGATGTGAGTTAGCTTGATTCTATGGATTTTTTGGAGTTCAGTAATTGTTGTAGTCATGAGATTTGGGCACTGCTCTGGTCAGCCTGGAGACTGCGCAGGAGGGATGCAGAGTTGATTGAGCAGTGGCAATCTGGTCAGCTGCTCATGGTTTTTTTCCAAATTTCCAGGTGCAGTGGTATATTTGGCCAGACTTTGCATCAGTGGGTGTTTTTTTTGAAACCTGTGTACATGACTGCGCCACACGTTTTCGGGTTGTGTTTTCCTCCACCGCCTTTGTGCCAGTTTGTGCTGAGGTGGTTTGCCATTGAGTTCTGTGTGCGCGGTTCCAAGCCACTCACTGCTCTTCAGTCAGTCAGCTTTTCTGAAGTCCAGTTTTTCAGACACTTCCAATTCAAGACACTAAGATTTGCAGTTTGGATCAAACAAAGAGCATTGACACCTTTTTGCGAAGCTGAACCTGGCCGACCATGCCTTTCTGCCGCCCTTCTGACCCTGGCCAGCCCGGTCCTATGTTACTGTGTCAGTTTCTGTCCGAACAAGTGTTTTGTTTTTGCATGCTGTTCGTGGCATGTGGTTCAACACTTCTTCAGGCCCAAGTGCAAGGATGATGATGATGATGAGTCGCACTTTGTGTCCACACTACCTCCAGCTGATCTAGTCCTGGTTTCTGAATCCTTGCCCTCTGTTGAGTGTAAGACTTCAAACGATCAGACAGTCACCATTTCTGTGATAGCTGCTCTGGACCATGAACTGCTGGGGTCATGGGCTCAGTGGCAATTTCAACCATCATGGACCGGTCTTTAAAACAGTGAATTGCCTTGGTCACAGCCATCAGAACTGCTTCCAGTCATTCTTATTGTTTTGTCATGCTAGGTTTGCAATCTTTCGACTTGGTCGTGACTTGCATGCCTGGTTGAGGAATGTAATGGATTCCTTTGATGCGGCAGTCTTCCGAACCAAGAAGCAACTGATTAAGACGCTCAATCGGTTTTACCAGGCACATGTATCCCAGGCAGGGCCAGGGGTGCTTGAATTCGTAATGAACACGCAAAAGACCTAATGTGATTCAATTGGCAAGACTGGTGTTTAGACTTTCTTCAAACCAAAGCACACTAACACTTCCTCACTGCCGTTTATTTGCCTAGTGGTCTTAAAGCAGCCAGGTCGGTCCATTCTCTCGTGACGTTGCCTATGCTGGCAAATGGTGGAAGATGATGCCTTGGTGCCCCACAGGAAGTCCATTCACATTGAATGGAAGCTCGCTCACTATGCATGTTTCAGGTTCACCAAGTGCTAGTAAGCTTCATGTCCATATTTGCTAACCTTTCCCAACACTTTGCCTGCTCGCTATCTCAGGTAAGAATGGTGTCTTCCAGGTGATGTTTCAATCAGTGGTTTTGAAACCACAGCCTTTGCCATGACCGAGTGAGAGTTGGGATTTCACTTTCATTTGATGCCAACTAAAGGCTGAAAGTAGCACTGCCTGCAGGGGAGGGTCGCAGTGCCGAACAGCCCTGTTGGTCACGCAGCAATGTCGGATTCAAAATTGTTGCAGCAGTCGTTTGCAAGATCCATAGATTTGCTTGGACTTCTGAAAGTGAGTGTGTGTTTATTTGCTTTAATGCTAAGGCTGTGGTGGCAGGTTTGTCCTGAATGCAGTTTCGATTTAATTCAACCCTATTTTTGTTGCTGCGAGTGCAGTCAGATTTGAGCTCACATAGGGGAGGGCCTGGGCTGACATCATTCAATGAGTGCGCTACCATGTGCTGGCAATGAGCCACTGGAAAATTCACAGCCTCCGACACCAGCAGAAAGGTCCAATGCTGGTGAAGCATCGGAATCGATGCTGGAGGTGCCAATCACATCTCTTGTAGAACGATTCAGTATGTTTGCAATTGAAGTGGCTAGATCGAAGAAGTGCTTTTATGTTTTCCTGGAGGAGCCTTCAGAAACTATCATGACTGTGGAGGACTCATGGGGTTTGTCCACCGCTATGCCCACCGACGGGCAGAAGTTGCGGGAGAGTGTGCGAACTTTAATGGCCCAATGCATCCAGAAGTATGGTGGCCCTGAGAACTACTTACGAATGAGGTTTGCTACGCGTGCAGCCAAGCAAGACTGGCTGAACTACTTGGGTGAAATTCAGAAGGTGGATGGGGCCACCAGCTTCAATGTAGGCGTCGACTTGCCAATCTCCAACTGCAATGCTTTGAGTGAGGCAAGGTTGAGATTTGGTTTTGAAATGGACATTTGTTGAATTAGGTGTGGCTTCCACATGTTGTTTCCTGGCAGGGGGCACTCCTGCGCATGCATCTAGGATCTTTCAGCTTCAGCACAGCAGCGTCTGTCCGCGGCTGCCCGGAGAACGATGTAGTTCTCAAGCTCATGGACGAGATCATGGTGGATGGCTTCGTTACGCAAGGAGATCCACTCCTTCTGACTCAACCAGCTGACCTTCTTGCAGAGGTGGAGGATAGACTTTAAACTCTGTCACTGCTGGTCATTGTGCAATTTTGTGGTTGTCGGCTCAAAGTTTTCCAATGGAGTTCGGTGTTTTGAACAATGCCTTTTTTGGAACCAGGAGGGATTGATGGGTCCTTGGGCTCGTGCTGGCCACTCGAGTTTGCGGCCAATGACTGTGGGCTACTATAAGGGCAGAACCCGTGTCACGGTCCTTTTGGCCATTCTCTCTCTCCTCAGGGATCATGTCAATCCCAACCTGGCCGAGGTGTTTAGTGGTTGATTCTGTGCAGTCAATATGTTTTTTTCACATGGGCTAGTGTGCAACTGCTAGTTGGGCATGGCCAGGTGCACAGCAAGCTGCACCAGAGTGTGCAGGTGATCCTCGGGAAGAGGGTCCAGCTGCCCTCGAAGAAAGACGAACTTCTTGGCAACTTTAAGTTGTCAGTCAGAGGCTCCATTCGAAAAGCTCCCAATGTTGTGCCAGCTTCCCAGCTCTTCAAGATTTGTTCATGGTTCGTTGGCCAAACATGCTTCGCCTGGTGCCAACAACCACGCTTAGGACATGGATTTCCAGCATTACACAGCTCCAGAACTTGGATTCTACCCTCGATGTGGCCCAATTTGTTTGACACCTAGCCCGAAAACATGAACTGATGGAACATGTTGGCAACTGGCTGCGTGAGGTCTCAATCACCACCAGACCGGGATTGGACAACATGTTTGTTCCCTGCTCCCAGGTGAAGGATCACAATGCCAATTCCTCAAAGAATGGCCAGCTGGTGGGATCCAAAGCCCAGGCGGTGAAGAACATTTTGCACAGCCTGCCATCGAAAGTGAGGCAGCTGATAGTGGACTACACGACAGAGGTGGGCTATGAGTCCAGTCCCTGGCAGGACGACTGCCTTGGAAGCAAGAAATGGTTGCCAGGCTTTGCGTTTCTCATCTCAACGAAGCCCTTTTTGTTTTTGGTGGTTTTCAATTCAAATCAAGTCGTTTGTCCAGTATGGAATCAGACAGGGGTCTCTGTGCTCTTATCAATGAATATACAAAATTTATGTCTATTTGTAAATAGTATATATGCATCAGGTTTCGCAGCCAATCTGGTGGGGGCTCGAACAACGTGTGGCAGACACGTGGCAAGGTCACTGCAGAGAGCGTGGATCTTTTTGTCGCTTTGAACTGCTTGGAACTGCTTTGTTGAACTGCTTTTGTGGAGTTGTGTGTTTGGCATTGCTTAGAGGCTTAGGATTGTTGTGCTCAATGTGAGGCTATTCTCAAAAATTACTATCACTCAGAAACCACCCACAATCACTCAGTCAGTCGACATTGCTATCAGGTCAAGACCCTCATCAGCTACAACCGCAAGATGCCAGCCGGCATGGAGGCCAAGATGCAGAGGCAGCAGTGGGACCGGCTGGCAGAAGAGTGCGCGTGTGTGGTTCACATGGGTGAAGAGGTCTTGAATGTGATGCCAGTCGCCCCCGAAGTGCTGTATGAAGCTTGGCACCAGAAGTACATCGATGGTGACCAAACGGTGACTGTGGAGGTGCAAAGTGCAATCCTGGCCCGTTCTGCTGGGAACATCCGTGATGTGGGGACATTGAACACGTTGCTCACCCAACATGCCTCGAGCTGTCCTGTGCCCAAGAAGGATGTGATTGGCATGGT